CCCCGGCAGGTTCCTGCCACCCCCCCAGCACTCCTGCCTTTTGGTGGCTCTAGATGGCAGCAGCTCCCCGCAGCACCCCACGCCGTGGGGCTGCCAGCCGGGTGCCGGTGGGTCCCACGGCCACTGCCAGCCCCACACCAGCCCCGGGTGTGGGGGGGAGGGATGTACATCAGGGCCCACCCGCGACAAGGACCCCACGGAGGGGCTGGCTGCTGTAGGAGGCACCTACGGACCCCACGCTCAGCTCGTTTGCGAATGAAACGCTTCGTCGTGGGCTCCTCGGTTATTTGGGAGACAGGGGCGCTGCCAAGCCACGCGGTGCTCAAGGGGAGCGAGGAAGAGGAGCAAGGAAGAGCAGGTATGGTAGCACAGAACAGAAAAGCAGGAGGAAGGGGGTTTCCCAGCACGGCTGCAGCAGGAGGAGAGTCCTTCGGTCCTCAGCACCAGCCCAAGCACCCAAAAAAAAACCCCAAAGGGGAGACAGCAAGACCCACAACGTGGGCCACCTGCAACCCGCACGCCTGCTACCTCTGCAAAGCCTGGGCTGGCGAGGGGAAGAAGTTGGCACCCCAGGTCACGGCCAAGACCACCAGATAGTGCTGCACCCTCCCGCTGTGTCCCGCCGGCATCGCGCTCTCCCAGGGCAGCCGCCTCCTTTGCCAGCAGCTTCCTTGTGTCCCAGAGGGGAGGATGCTTTTATAGCCTGGGTTTCTGCATCCGTGGGGGTTTCTCCTCCCCGCTGGCCGGGGGAGGGCTGGGGATGCTGCAGGCAGCACTGCAGGCAGGTAGCTGGATGGTGACCGGGACAGTCCTTGCAGAGGGTGGCATGGCCAGGAGAGCCCCGTGGGCACAGATGATGACAGTGGCTGGCAAGGGGAGCTGCAAACCCACACTACTCGCGGTTAATAACGTGGTTACGTGTCAGCACCCCGCCACCGCCAGCACGGCGTGTGCAGGGCATGGGCCAAACGCCTGCTGGTGTCAGCCAGGAGAGCTGGCAAGTGATGGGGATGCAGGTGGTGGTGGCTCCAGTCTAAAGGACAGGCTGGCCCAAGCTCCACACCGCAGAGGAATGGGGCTTCCCCCAAAGGCCCGGGGGTGGGAAGAGCAAAGGGTGCTCAGTCACAGTCCCTCAGGCCACGCAGATCCCAACTGCAAACCCACTGCCCTTCTGGGGGCTGCTCCAAGCACAGGGAGGGGGGATTTCCCCCACCCCCAGGCTCCATTACACTGCTGAGGGAACAGAGTCTTAATGCAGAGAACGGCCAAACTCATCACAGTTGTGGCATATGACATAAGACCAAGGTATGAGCGCCCACAGCCTGGCCAGGAGGAACAGTCTGTTCTCTGCCCTGTACACGCAGGGTGCAGAGGAGCCCAGTGCAGCTCTGGGTGCCCAAAAGACACCCAGAAGGTGTCCCAGAAAACACCCGAGAAGGGAGACGTTGCTCAAAAGGCCCAGAGGACTCCTCCAGACAAGGTGCACCACTGGTCCCCAGCGCACACCCAGCTGTGTTTCCCCCAGCCCAGGGTGGTGGGTGCCAGATCAGGCCCTGTGGCTCCGAGCCCAGTGCTTGAGCTCGGGGAACCTCGGTGGGAAATGACCTCAAAGGCAATAAAAACGTTCTTGGAAGAAACCTGGTGACAAACTTGCCCCTGCCTCGAAACCCCCAGCTCTGCGACCGTGCCAGTGTGCTCCTGTTGCGGATGGGATTGGTTTAGGGCACTGCCATCACCCTTGTCTAGGGGACAGCAGTGCTGGGGGGGGGTGACGGGGACACCCCAAAAGCTACAGACACCTTCCCCCCAAAACTGGGGCCTTGAAGGCTCCTTTCCCCGGGGGATTTTGTCTGCAGGGTGGGGGCCAGGGGAAGGCTGACCCCGGGAGGCTCTGCCCCGCGGCTCGTAGCCCCGCGCCCCCCAGCCCTGACGTCTTTTCCCACGCCGGGCCCCAGCGCTGCGTCACTCAGGGGAGCCTCGTGCCCCGGGCAGGTTGCAGCGAGGCACAGAGGTCAGGAGGCAGCAGCCCAGCGAGAGAGGGTCTGGCAGGGAGCCACCGGACATAAATCCGCTTCCCGGGCATCCCACGGGCTCTGCTGAACCCCGTTCCCCGAAGGGCTGCAGCGTGACTTCAAAGGAAAGGGGCCACGTCAGCTGGGGGAAGGTGGTCCCAGGACGTGGGGCCATGGGGCTCCAGCGTTTCCAGCTCCCCTTCGACCCAGGGCCGAGGGGAGGCACGTCTGCAGGAGCCCCGAGGGGCTTTAGATGCTCTGGGCAGGGCTTTCCCCTAGCAGGGACAGAGGCACTCGCCTCCCGTGGGGCAGCCGGAGCGGGATGATGCTGGGAACAGCAGGGAGGCTGCGGGTGCTGGGGAAAAGGCAGCACCAGCCCACTCCAGTGCCCAAGGAAGACAAGCCCTTCCCGCCAAGGGCTTGGCACCACAGCCCTTCTGGTGGGAAATCAAGGCAAAAAACCACTCACCCCAGTCCATTAGAGAACTGAAGGCAGCGGCCTGTGCTAGCCCTGAGACTGACCTGCCTCGCTGGCAGCACCAGGGCTTGAGGATGCCCCTCGGCACCGGGCACCTTCCCCCGTGCAAGGAAAATCCCCGCAAGGCATTTTCCAGCCACTTCCAGCGGCAGCGAGCAGGGATGAGCAGCTGGTGCATGGGAGCAGCGCTGGAAAGACCCGACACGGGGCTTGAAATAACCTGCAATGGGTGTGTTTGTGCGCAGGGTTGTAGGAGCCAGGGGAAGGGTACGAGCATCACCTCGCTGGCTCGAAGGGCTGGAGCAGGAGCTGTGGCGAGGGCAGCACAGGGAGGACGGCCGGGACCACGCTGATTTTATCCCCGAGCCCTTCAGGAAGGATGCTTAACAATTCCCACGCATCCTGGAAGCATCAGGCAGTTCTAACCAGGGCATCACTTAACCTGAATTTGCAGCGACTGAAGGTAACAGGCCATCAGGTGAGGCTGCCGTCACCCTGCTCCGCGTGCGTGCTGCCGGGGAAAACCTGCTGCAGTTTGCTGCAAAGGGCTGGGGTTTCCTACAGCTACCTAGCCCATAAAGAGCAGCTCATCTGGAAATAGCAGGGGAATGCTCTTACATGATTTCCCTGCCTGCTTTCAAGGAGTCAGATGATTGATCTAAGAGTGAATTCAAGGAAAATGCTTTCCAGAGAGAGAAACAAATCCTTTCCTGCAAGAAAAATGCATTCTCCTCTACTATTGGGCCGAACAAGCATGGTTCTTAAAATAAAATATGAAATATTAAGTACTTCCCTCTCTAAATTGAATCATTAGGAAGTTTTACTGAACAGCCTTATTTCTTGAGGGATCTTTTAAAACAGTAAAAAAAAGGTAGATGCGCTTCCATCCTTCCCACACATTTTACACACTCTACTAATCCATGAGTTCGTTGCTAGTAAAAACACATCAGGCTTGTGAGGAGCCTTGTTCCAGAAGACAAAAAAAAAAAAAAAGCTCAAGCCTAAAAGCAACTTTTGGGAAGGACTTAGAGGAGGCTTTGGATGGCACCAACACCGGGGGAATTCGGCCGTTGACGTCAGCAGAGCCAGGGCTTCACCCAAAGTGTTTGTTTAAAACCAAAGCTGCTCTGGCAGGGCACATTGAAATAGCAATTGAGTGAACCAGAGGGAAAACATTCCCCTGCAATACGCTTCAGAAAGGCAGGCGGAGGGAGAGCAGCCCTGGCTGGCTGCTGCCTGCTCCATCCCAGAGGCAGCTCACAGTCATTCCCTGGGTCACTTTATGAAGCCTCCCTCACTGTCACCCAGGGATGATGCTCCAGCCTGCCTTGATTTTCCCACCTTACAGCACCCTGGGCACACACCCCGCTCACTGCCACAGGGATGGGGGCATTAAACAGTGGGAATCACCTTATCCTGCTCACGGTGTGCCTAAGACTGTTCCTCTTTCTTCTGGTGAAGCCCTAAAGATGAAGCTTGACCAGGAAAAGTTGATCTGCCAAGTGTTCAGCTGGAGTGAGGCAAAAGGCAGGCATCACAGATGGGCATTAGGGAGGCTACAGCCCTCACTAACCTGCACAATGTCCAAGCCTGAGCTTCCTCTCCTATCCCTCCTCCACAAATAGCTGCTCAGCTCTCTGTTCCAAACTCCTCCGCTTCAGCATCAAAGCTGGCCCCGATACCAGCAGAGCTGGCCCCACCTGTACCTTCCTCCTGCCCACAGCCAAGCTGGTGCCAGGAAGCTGCGAGCTCTTTTTTTTTGCCCCCCTTCTCAAGAGCTGCAATCTGTGCTCAAACTAAAAGCACCCCCCTCAAAACCAGCACTAAGGGAGCAGCTTCCCCTGAGCCAAACCTCTGAGGGACAAAATACAGCCATACCCAGCTTCATGGGGGCTGCCCTGATTTATATCTGCCGGGGAGCTCGTCCTTTGTAAGCCAGGGCTCAGCTGGGCTGCTGGGGCTGGGCTTGGGGTGCCCAAATGAGTTACCCCACCTCAGCTGAGCAGTCAGAGCAGTCCTCAGTCTGCTTTCACCTGATGCAACCCCCCCCTGCAAACCTGGGCACCGGTGCAGCACCTGCTAAGAGCCCACAGGCACAGCCACCAGCTCCATCAGGCTGTGCCTCAATCAAGAGGGAACAGGTTTAACTCAAAGTCATTAATTAATTCTTGCAAGTTAAGAAGGGTATCTGCACAGGGACCAGCTTTGATGTGATTGCCTCGGTTTAATTAAGCTCCTGCTTGCACCCAGCTTCCCAAGTGCTCACAGAAACCTGGCTGGCATCCATTTAGTTTGTGTCTTCTGATCGCACAGACCCGCTGAGTTATCCAACCAGTTCTCCGGCAGTGCTGGCTGCGCTCCTGGGGAGAGGAGTTTCTGCAGCCCGAATAAAATAGCTCCTTTAAAATCATCTGACGTTAAGCTAGGAGAGCTCTGCGCCGTCCTCAGGTTCCTGCCTGCCTTGAAGGTCAGGGAGACCTCGAATGGGGGGGGGATGCTCGTCCCCCAGAGCACGTGGCAGCACAGGTCCTGCTTCAACCAGGGTTTAAAAGCACCAGATAAACCCGGGCCTGAATGGTTCTTGGGGCCAAATCATCCAGAGAGGACGCAGAGGGGACATGGTGAGTGATGTGACAGGATGGGGCCCCCAGCACCCGGCCAGAACAGCCCCTTTCTGTCCCTACAGAAACAGGCTGGAAAGCAGGAGCTGCCCGTCGGCCTCCCAGAGGGGTGGTGGGGCTGCAAGGACGGGCAGCAGATGCAAAGGTGCTTTGAATGCTGGTGGCTGGGGCCAGATCCCTCTCTGGGGTGTAAGCTGTGGATCTCAGCAGGCTCCCCCAGAGCAGGACAGATGTCTGGGTCATGGGTAGGCAGCCAGTCCCCTCCTCAGCACCCGTGTTGGCCTTGGGGTGGGCACCAGGTGCTGGAGATGTTCCCCTGCCCCAGTGCCCACCATTGCCGTGGCTCCCACCAGTTCCATCCCACCAGCCAGCGGGTCCAGCTCTGCTCCATCCTGGCCTCATGCCCCGGGAAGCGGGGGGGGTCTATGGGAAATGCGAGTCCCGGCCCATAATGCCCAGAGATACCGGCACTGTAACTCTGTGGATTTGCTCCAGCATCTCTCAATTAATTAATAACCCCAGATGTCATTTGCTTTTTCATGGTTGCTGAATTTGAACGGGGTAATTTACTCTCCTCTGATCAGGTCATGAAATGTTAATGTGGTTTAATGGGTGTTTTTCTAACCTCCCCTGCCCTCTCCCGCGGCTCCCCGGGCTCTGCTCTCCGCAGCCCACATCCCCGCGGGACGTGTGGGAAGTCAGTGCCATGGCCGCTGCCTGCGAGCCAGGGCTGCCCGAGATGGCTGGGGCTCGTGGCCAGGGCAGCCGAGGGCCACGGCCATGGGAGGGTCCCCGTGCCACCTCTAGCCATGGCCATGGGAAGGTCCCCGTGCCACCTCTAGCCATGGTGACCAGAAGGTCCCCGCACCACCTCTAGCCATGGCCATGGGAAGGTCCCTGTGCCACCTCTAGCCATGGTCACCACAAGGTCCCCGTGCCACCTCCAGCCACAGCCATGGGAAGATCCTTGTGCCACCTCCAGCCACGGCCACTGGGATGTCCCTGTTCTACCTCCAGCCATGGCCATGATGCCTCTTGGTGGCACTAAGAGATGCCAAAGCTAGAGCAAGCCCCGAGCCACAAGAAAGGAGCACAGTCTGCGTTAGGTCTCCTAACACACTTTTTAATTAAATCTGTCAACAGGAGAAGACAAAAATAATAAAATAACATTAATAGTTCCAGAAGCCTGTCTGGCACAGCGTTTGGTCCCCAGAGCCTCGCTCAGGAGCTGCTTGCAGGAGCCCTGTGGGGCAGTGAGGCACCGTCCCTGCCACGGCGGTGGCTCTGGCTGGCACTGGGGGTCCTGGGGCTGAGAGAGGTGGCAGCCTGCCACGGGAGAGCCGGGCCTGGGACTCATTTGTGCTGTCCCATCTCTGGTGACGTGGCCCGTCTCTCAGGTCACACCATGGAGCTGCTCTCTCCCATCTTCTGCAAGAGCTGCAACGGGGACAGATCCTGATTAGCATGAAAATCCTCCAGTGCATCCCTACTGGTCACCTTCCCTACCACGGTGGTCAGGATGGATAAATCCAAGGACTGCAAACCCCAATGGTCACACCAGCCCCTGTGAACCGTGCCCAGCACCCTGCTCACCTTGCTCAGCACAGGGATGTTTGTCAGCGAGCCCAAAAACCCAAAAGCCACTGGGAAAAAACTCCTGTAGCAAAACAAAAGTCTGTGTTAAGCCACGTGCCAGGATTTTGCTGGGATGGGAGTAGTGGGGGATCTGCCCGGGGCTGCAGGGCACGAAGCTCGCCCAGCTCCTCTTCAGCCCGGAGCACTCATGTCACGGCGGGGAGCTGGGTGCTGGGGGAAGGACCTGAAGAGGGTGAAGAAGCCATAAGCCTCCAGCAGCATGCCCAGGAGTGGCCACCGCATGAGGACAATAAGGACCCCTCCCATGAAGAAGCTGGTGCCCTTCAGCTTTGGCCGCTGGAAGAAGAAGGTGAAGGTCCTCCTGAAGCCGATGATGAAGACCAAGCCGGAGAGGAAGAGGATCTGGGAGGATGAAGGAGATCAGGTCAGAGAAGTCCTGCCCTGATGGACTCTTTGCTCCATCCTGGGTATGAGCACCTGCTGTGGGGAGCACCGTCCCCACTGTACTCACATTACCGAAGGCCAGAAGCACTGAGTCAAAGTACAAGAGCATCCCAAAAAGGATGAAGAAGAGGCCAAAGCCGACCAGTCCCACACCGATCCCTGCAGAGGATGGGAAGAGGACTGAGATGAGGGCTCGGGGATACAGCTCAGGTCCCACCTCGGGCTGCAGTTGCTCTCCTTAGTGCCTCCCTGATCCATTCCTTCCTAGAAATGAGCTGGGGATTTGTCTCCAAAGCTTAGAAACAGCCTTTCCACCTGCCCAAGCCTTGGAGAGACTGTTGGGTATCCCAGAAACTCCTCTGGGCTGCCAGATAAAGAACAAACCACAGAGAAAAAATAAATGAGGTCATCTCCAGCATTTTTCTGAGCAGTGACAAGAAGGGTGTTGGTGCTGGCAGCCGGTGGGAGAGGCTGGTGATGCTTTTAGGCTGAGCCAGGCACCTCCCCAGTTTCTGCTCCCGATTCAGACCTGGGGCAGAGGGTGAGGGCAAACCCAGTTCTCATCCCACCAGTGCTCCCACCACATCCCCCCACCCCAGGACTGGACTTGCCGTTGCACCTTCTCCCTGCCCTGCCCACCCCAGTCAACAGCCTCCAGCCCTGACTCGGTGCTGTGGAGCATCCCCACGGTGCACCCTGGTCCCACGGGGATGGGCATCGCCACCGGGATGGGACGCGGCCACCCCACGCTCGCCTGCTTACGCTGGAAGTCGGTCAGAGACACCATCTTGCTGGCGGTGGGGCAGGGCGAGGGCGGCTGCCCTTCCACGTGCCTCGGCGGCAGTGACCCTTGGAAAGGCCTTTAGTCCCCACGTCACCCTGCAAATCATTAACAGCCCGGCAGCGCCTGCCCCGCGCCAGCAGCACCTCCTTCAAGGGGATACGGTGGCCAGGCATCGCTGCAGGGGGACATACAGAGGCGGCCGTTGGTCCCTGCCTGGTCCTGCCCTGCCTGCATGTCCTTCCAGGGAAGGGACGGCTGGGAGCGGTCCCCAAAACAGCGGAATGCACACGGCTGTGGTGTCCCTTGGGGTGTCTGAGTGGTTCCTGGGGCGCGGTGAGCACGCGCAGCTCCCTGCAGCATTGTCACCGGTGCATCCTGGCTGCCCTGTGAAAGAGAGGAGCTCTGGCACCTGCTATGCCCCAGCCTTGGTCCTCAGGGTTTGCAGGGACGATGGCTTGGCCAGAGAAAGGTCCCTACATGCCACATGCCACCCCCGAGCCACCCCGTAGGGTCCTCTGCACCCACATCCCTCAAGAAAGTCCCCCAGGGGACTCCACACATTTACAAACCAGCCGCTCTTATTCCTTGGTTTTACATAAACTTGCCGGGTATAAATGTGGGGTTTATTCCTCCACGAGAGCTGGCTATTGATCAGCGACAGCTAAAATAAACTTTACTGGGAAAACAAACCTCCCAAAACAGGGAGAGGGAGGAGAAGGTGCTACCAGGTGAGCTCTGGGCAAGGTGAGCCCCTTCCTGGCCAGTCGAGATGCTGTAGCCTTTCATCCGTCTCTTCAGTCTGATATTAAAATTGTTATCTGAGGTCAGCTCTAGACAAAAGACACTGACACCTGGCTGTTTCTTAGATACTTTTATTTCTCTAACACTAGCAAAAACCCCAGAAAACAAATGCCTCCCTTCCCACCCTCCCCAGTGCATAAATAGATTTCCTCCCGATGCAAATCCTTTCTTGGTTACAAGTCACTGGTATATGAAGTGTTATGAAAAATAATAACCAAAATAAAATTAAGAATTAAGGTTGCTTTTATTTTATTTAAAAAAAAAAAAAAAAAAGAAAATAACGACCACTGGGTTCCACAATAGGGCAGATGTGGGGTCCCAGTGCACCAGGCTGTGCTCACACCTTGGGGAAGGCTCAGACCCGGCCACCTCACCACGAGCTGCTGCTCGCCCGGATGCTCCTTGTCCCCTCCGGTCCCCAGAGACGGGAGGAATTGCTGCCCGTGGGTCTGCGTGTCCCCTTGGCTCCCTGCCGGGCAGCACAGCCTCTGCGTGGGCCACCCGCGGCCCCCGGCAAGTCCCCGGCAGTGTCCCCGCAGCCGGTGTAAGGGGGGGTTCTGCCCCGGTTACACGAGCTGGGGAGCCCGCCCCGGCCGCCCCGCCGCTGCGCTCAGGGACAGGGAAATAAATGCGTCATCTCTTAAAACTTACAGTCTCTTTATATTTTATTTTAAATAAATTTGCTTTTAATAAAAGCAGAAAAAATATATATATTTTAAATAGGTTTTTTTATCTTTTTTTTTTTTT